GTGGCGGCTGGGGCTCGCTCAGTCCCCAGTTTCATACACCACGAGCAGCAGGTCGGAGCAGCCTCCCCGGGAGGATGTCCAGCAGCAGCCCTCCTCTCTCCAGCCCTTGGGGATCTTCCGCTGAGGCATTGAAGACAGGAGGAAAGGGTCCGTCATCGGCTCGCCGGGCTCCGCGCCACCTCTGCGATCTTGCGGAAAGAGGAGCGGGTGGGTGGGCGTCTGGGAGGAGGGCTTGAGGGTGGTGGAGGGGAACGGGGGTGGCAAAGGGGGGTGGGGAAGGGAGGGAGGGGAAGTAGCAGGAAGATGGCAGAGTTACCAAGTGGGTGCCTGAGTCATAGCCCTGGGCTGCGCGACCCTCCAAGAAGCCCGGAGCCGGGGTGAAATTGGGCTGCTCCGCGCGGCCGGCGCCCCCGGAGCTGGTGCGCGGCGGAATGGGGCGGCGACGGCAGCAGCAAGGACATCACACCCGCTCGGATCCTGGGGGGGAGGAAAGGGGGAGGGCGTGAGGACCAGGCTGGGATCCGTCACTTGGCCAGCCCGGGCCGAGGGGGCCAGACGGGAGCAGGCAAATCCCGAGCTGGATCTTCGAGCCGGATAAAAGGCGTGCAAGGCGGAGGGACCATCATGTGAAAATCCCCTTCGGGCTTTAATTTTTCACTTTTTAAGGGTTAGAAATTGCGGTCGATCTGTCTCCTATCCCTTATATTCCATCTATCTAGAGGAAGCGGGTTCTCTCTCTTCTCGGGGGCTAAGGCTTTGCCATTCACTCCGGTCGCAGGCTGGGAGAGGAGGCAGGCGCGCGCCGAAGGTAAAGGCAGCAGGAAAAGTTTCGTGGTTTATCCCCTAGCCTGATGCGGAGCTCGCCCACCGAACTGGTCCTGCAAAGACACCGGCGTCTTGCAATTTTCCTTCATCCTCCCCAAGATATTTAAAACCCTCAAGGCAAACAGAGATCACCTCCTACCCCACCTCAATGTGGACAGACGCGCGCGCGCGCGCAGCGCGTTGAACTCAGGGGGAAAAAACAGTTGCTGGGAGACAGCCCCGGAAAAGCCCCAGCTGGTAAAATGCGAATAAATGAATACGAAAGCACAGTAAACGCGGGGCGGCCCGCGTTGGGCAGGAGCGCGCCAGGGTGGGGGGAGTCCTGCTCCGGACTCTGCTGCAGCACTCCGCCCCTACGGCCTCCGGCCAGTCCTCCGCGGCCGCTGCGGACTCTGCCCGCGCCCACCAGCTGCCAGCCGGACCTCGGGGCCACGCAGAGGCCGTCGAGCCCCAGCCACCGTCTTGGTGGTCACGGATCTTGGGGCGCTCAGCCGCAGACCCCGCGCCTCCCGCTGCACAGCCCGGATGGGGGCTATGGTTGGAGATGATGGCGGTGAGGAGAGGGGTGTAGGAGGAACTAAGAGCGATAGAAGCGGAGAGACGCTGTGATGCTAAGACTAGGGTCACCTCAAATGGCCGAGGAAGGAGGAAAGGGCCGTGAGAGGGGACAGAAGGGCACTTGAGGCTTGGCTGCTGCCGCCGGGCTCCCGGCCCTGCCTCCACCTCCCGGCACCTGCTGCTGCGGCTCTGGGCCGCCCACGTGGGTGCGCTTGCGGTGGGGGTGGACGCTCACCGCTGTCCTGCCCTCATTTCCCCCAGGAAAGCGGCTGGGAGTGAAGGTCTCCTGACAATAATCTGAGATGAGGGATAATGAGATGACCCCCCAAGACCGGAGGCGATTCCAGAGCCTCAGACGCAAACTCCAAGACTCCTTCCACGAAGCTTTTGGTTCCTTGATTCCAGGCAGCTGCGAGTCCTCGACGGTGCAGTATAGGAGTGTGTGTGTGTGTGTCTGTGTTTTCATTCATTTAATGAAAGCTGTGTAGATGGGGCAGGAGGGAGTGGAGAGCGAGAGGGAGAGGCAGAGAGAGAGGGAGAGAGAAAAAGGGGGAGAGAGACTGCGTGCCTGCAGAGCGCCAGCTCCACCAGAACTCGGCGCCAGCGAGAGGAGCTACAAGCTCGAGAAAACAGCAAGAGGCGAGCGGACGGACGCAGAGCGGGAGGAGCGTCTCGGAAAACCGGTGTGTATCTACCCGAATGTGTACTTGTAAAAGAGTCCAGCGGGAGAAGAGGCAGAAGGTCCCGCGGGAGTCGTGTGACCTACGTGCGATTCTTGTGCCAGCGCGGAGGTTGGGTGGTGGGGGAAGTGGATGGGAGTGGAGTTGAGGAAGAAATTCCCCAACTGCTAGGAAGCAAAAGCAACCCAAGTGTGGATAGTAGATGGTTAGAGCAGTTAGTAGCTGACAAAGAATGCGGGCCACCAATGGGGGAGGGAGGGCCCTCGAAAAATGGCCAGTGACGCAAATTGGTAGTGGAATGTTGAAATCGTTAAGATTGGATGGTAATTATTTTTTACATCCAGAAAAATACCACTTCTTTACGAAAATGATAAAATCCTTCGAGGAAGCAGTGACAACGTTAAAAATTACCTTAAGGAAAATGACTGCAATTTGAAGATAGAAGAGTGGAAATTTGGTCTTTGCTAAATCCATCCACTCAAGTATGTCTAACATTTTTCCTCCTCTTTGCCCAGGTGGGTTTTCCAGAACACAGATTTTGTAATTCGGCCAAGGAAGTGGCCACTGAAATTTTTTTAAAGTGGTCCTTACATCAGGAGGGGCGATCCAGGAAATTCAGGAAGGAAATCTCAGGGAAAAGAATAAAAGGTAGAAGGGGGGAGTGGGAGTCAAACCTTTTGTCTGTGCCTGCATTCCTCCCATAACCTAGTGGCTAGTATGTCTGTGTATGAAATCGAATTATCATAAATAGTGGCCTCTCTGCTCTTTGAACCCCGGTGCTCCTCTGGCCAGTGCCTGGGGCTGAGGGGTTGCACTTCTGCACAAAGCTCAGTGCTGAGGGAGTGAGTGTGCATGTCCTGGGCCCAGTCCATGACAGAGGCACTCTCAGGTACTCTGTTCACTCACCAACGGACTGGACAGACAGATGCTGAGGCTTTTGCTCTGCTCCCTGAATGCTCCCAGGCTGTGGCTGCAACTTTTCCTTGAAGATTTCATTCATTTTCCTTCACACACATGCACAAATGCTTTTAACCATCTACCACATCCTGCTTGTTTGGCAAACTGCCTTCTCACTTTTGAGTTCAGAACTACCACTTGCTGAGTAATGCTCTCTCCCTAATGGGGACCCACAAAATTTCCTTTCTTGAGAAAAACCAACATACTGGAAAAGTTCAGCTTCTCCAAGGGAAGGTTACGCACACGTGGTCAAATTTCAAGATTATTTTGAAAGGGAGAGCTTATAAACTGATAGCTTTGGTAAGTTAAATGTGCTGTCGGAGAAAAGGGCACTTTGTCACAGTTCTCCAAGGGTAGCATTGAAATAGAGACAGTTACTTATAGAAGATAAGGCAGAATTAATGCTTCTTGAACCCAGTGAAAGACTCACTGGTTTCCTTTAAGTTTGCACCTCATAACAATGAATGGTAACAAGGATTTCCAAAACCCTAAAAAGAATTGGTGTAGGGCATTTGATCTTCTGATTCAAAAGCGTGTAGTATTTGTCTACATACACATAGTTCTCTACAGAAAATAATAGAGCTCCAAGTCCACTAGGGGCCATTTCATTAATTCTTCTGCAGGATTGGCATCTTCTTCAAGGTCGTTTTTCTATGGCTAAAAGAGATGATGTTACAAAAAATAACCAAAATAAAATAGTGCTTCTGACACATTCTATATTACATTAGTTTCTCTAAAATTTCTAAATATATTTAAACCTTTTTCCAAAGTTATGAGATGTAAGGTTGTTTTTTCCATTTTATTAACTCAACGATATACAAGTCATAGTATCGTTTATTAACAACATTTGTTAATAAATAATTTGCTGCAAAATATTGGAATACTTTTGAAAATATCTGTAATACTCTAACGTGAAACTGGTTTTAAGCAATATTGGTGAAGCTGTTTTCCTTCAACTATCTGCGGCTGTATCATGACGGAGTAGAAAATCTTCATAAGATAGAAGACAGTTAAAATCTTCAAAATTCCTACATTTAAACCAGACAGGATATTTTATGAACATGACAAGAGAAATAAAACGTGATTTTCTTAGAAGTACGTATATATCATATTGTTAAATATCACAAGAATATTAGCCTTTTGTGGGAAAGAATGATCATAGCGCTACATTACTCAATTGATTTTGATCATTACTTACAGCTATACAGTCATCGTCCATGTCGTTTCATGTTAAATGACAGTTGTGCTTCAGGAACAACGTATTATTATCTCTGTTTAGGGAAATGAGAGAGGAATAAAAATAATAGCATGATCCACCAATATATGCTAAAATTTAAGAAAAAGCTTATTTTCCTTCTGATTAATATTTAATTAGCAGTGGCTTATAAAAATAACATCAAGATTTTTTTATAATCACCAGCCTAATTAATGTTAGCAATCTGTAATCCAGCATAAACTAAAAGAACATTTATAAAGAAATATTCTGAGATTGACATCTGTGTTTCTCTGTAAAGGAGCTGCCTTTGTACTAAGCATCATGTCACAACATGCCTCACTGTTATTTTGGAGAGAAAACAAGTTTCCATCCCTAGTTGGAAAAGAGATTTAATCATATTTGGAAAATATAAGTTAAGCTGATGAATAAATCTACATATTCTATGTCAAACCATCCATAATGAATAGAAACGAAACTTTACTTAAAATTGCTAACTCAGATATATGAGGGTTACTTATGTGT